AGAGCATTTTGTTTATCTTCCATACAATCATAAGCAACAGCAATATTGTTGTAAGTAGTTCCTAATGTAGCATCATTTGAAGAAAGTGTCTTTTCCAATATTGTTAATGCTTTTCGATAAAAAGCAACAGTATCAACATAATTTTTCATTGAATGATATATCGATGCAATACTTTCACAAGTTGAAGCTATTGCTGGATCATTCGAAGAAAGAGTTTTTTCTCGTATAACAAGTGCTTTTTGATGAAATATTAGAGCATTTTGTTTATCTTCCATACAATGATAAGCAACAGCAATATTATTATATGTTGTTCCTAAAGATGAATCATCTGAAGAAAGTGTTTTCTCTTCAATTAGTATCGCTTTTTGATAATAATTGATAGCTTTCGAATAATTTTGTATTGAATGATAAATTGATCCCATACTCTTGTATATATTAGCCAATGATGATTCATCTTCTTTAGGATTTTTTTCACGAATAGAAAGTGTTTTTGCATAAAATGATAATGCATTCGAATGATCATCGATAGCATTGTACGCAACAGCTATATTATTATATATCATTGCTAATGTTGATATTTCATTAGAAAGATATTTTTCACGAATTGTACAAGCTTTTTTATAAAATGAAAGTGCATTGTGATAATTTTCCATTTCGTAATATGTTAGACCAATGATATTATAAGTAATGGATAAATCATAATGATTTGGTGGTGATAATTTTTCTTGTAGGGTTAATGCTTGTTCTAAGAATGAAATAGCTTTTGAATAATTTTTCATTCTATAATATGTAAGTCCAATACTATAAAATGTTCTTGCTTTTGATTGATCCTTAGTTGATTTGGAACTTTGTTGAATCGAAAGTGTTTTTTCATAAAATGATAATGCATTTGAATAATCTTTCATTGAATTATAGATTAAACCGATATTACTATAAGTTATAGCTAAGGATGAATTATTTATTGAAGATGATTTAAGTTGAATGTCAAGAGCTTTTTGACAATATGAAAGTGCTTTAGTTTCGTCTTCCATTGAATGATAAATTAAACCAATATTATTGTAAGTATTAACTAAACTTGGATGATTTGTCGTAAGTGATTTTTGTTGAATTTCAAGTGCTTTTTCATAATGAGTAAGTGCTTTTGATTTATCTCCCATTGACTTATAAATTGTACCAAGATTATTATAACTATGAGCCATATCAGGATGATTTTCATCGAGAACTTTTCGACGAATATCAAAAGCTTTTTGATAATAAATTTGTGCTTTTAATTTATCATCCATTGAATCGTAGACAGAACCAAGATTATCATAAATATGAGCAAAAC